AGTTTGTGGTTGTAATGTGACAAAATGTGAAAAAATTCCAAGGGGTATGAATACTTTTGCAAGGCACTGTATATTTTAGTATTTGTTGTTTCAGTGAGATAAGTAAACACAACCCTTGTAGCAAACAGAAAACAACCTTTTCATAAATATCTGGCTGTGCTGCCAGGTTTTCCTGATGTAGTTTGTCTCAGCTGTTTTTGTCACCTTGTCTAACTCTCAATGTGTAGGTGAGTTTAGTTCATAGACCTGTTTCTCCCCAGATGTCCTGATGACAGAGACACAGTTACTGAATGTAAGATGCTTCTTATTAAAGTCAGTGCAACAGGTCACGTAGCTTAATTTTTGAAGAGGGATTCTGGTTGCACTCATCAGGAACAGTTTGTTTCCACTGATGCTGCAGGTCAGTGAATAAGACTTTTTATTTAGTTTAAGTTTCATCTTTATCATGAAAAATAGGTCATCAGTGAATATTTTTCATTATGCTTTTCACTGGTGACAGATGGTAGTTGGAAGATGCGATGTTTGATCGAACTACAAAGTTATGTGATAAGATGGATGCGGACTGGTTCAAAGCATCAACACAAACATTAGTGCATCAAAGGCTGCAGCCAAACCATTAACATGCCTGTTACATCACTTCCTGTCTAACCTCCACTCCCTCCTCCTCCTGCACAAAGAGGAACTGGAATACGTCCCTTCACCTTTGCCCGCTGGCCGGGTTGGAAATATGGGAAATGTAGCTCACAAGTAAACAGGACAGTCAGTGACAGCAAAGGGCAGGACTGAGTGTGTGTGTGTGTGTGTGTGTGTGTGTGTTCACACCTCTCCTTGTGTTCCTCTCCTCCACGCATCAGAGAAAATGGAGCTGACGATACTCTGGGAGCGTGTGTGGCCTGATGATGTCATCTCTGATACACCGCTGTCCGAGTGGTTGGACTGGGACTCTGGACGAGCAGAAGTAAACTTTTACTACGTATACTCTATTTTTGAGTACTTGTTCTTCATTAATGATATTACTTTGGCTCATTTTTGCTGTATTTATAGAGCAAGTTGAAATGTTGTTTGGAAATGGACTGACACTATTAAGCAGTAATCTAAACAGTAGCTGAGTTAGCCTAATGCTGACTGGCTTATTGATTAATCGACTACTTGCTGTCACTCTACAACCAAGGCAGACAGACCTGGAAGGCTGGAGGAGCTGGATCCTGACTTGATAGAGGAAGAAGAGAGTGAGGACCAATCATAGGCTGCCTCCGTCCTCCTCATCGCTTCCTGGAAATTGATGTACAGCTGCTTCCCATACTAATGGATGGACAGAGAAACAGACAACATATAGGTATGCATCTACATGGAAATGAAGACAAACACATTATCTCCCTCCATCTGTCTCCAATCAACACTGGGAGATGGCACAGAAACAACACTTCATCAAAACTTCACACACCGCCACCCACAACCCCAAAAGCTGGTTGTGCCAGTTTTACTACCTCTGGTGGTGGAATAAAGGAGGGTCAGCACTGACCCCACCCATGCCAGCTGGTGGTAGAGATACAGAGACAACAAGAGACAGAATCCTCCTGTTACACTGCCATTTCAGGGCAGGATTGTTGTGCCAATGTACATAATGCCATTCTGTATGAAAAGTGTAGTGGTTCAAGTTAATATGTAATACTAGAATACTATGTAATGTAATAGATTATACATAGTACATAGTACTCTATCTAGTATTACATATTAACTTGAACCAATACACACCTAGCCGACATGAGTGGGGGTCAGTGTTGGTCCCCATCACCAGAGGTAGTAAAACTGGCACAAGCATTCTACCTCAGCCTCTGTCTGAAAGGGGAGAGGCAGCTTGGGGGTTGTGGGTGGAGGGGTGTGAAGTTCTGATAAAGTGTTGTTTCTGCCATGCGCCTCTGGAAGATTTGTGTTTTAACGTTGCTTGTAAGAATCAGAATCTGTGGCCACAGTCGCTCACATGTACAGTGTGTACAAGGCAAAGCACATCCTACTCTGTTCATCCACCATTGTTGAACTGAAAGCAACAACATTTTTGTGTTGTTCCATTGTATATTATATGCATGATTATACACTCATTGGCCACTTTATTAGGTACACCTGTATAATAGTATGCACGTCTGCCTTAACATCTGTGTTTATGAAGCTGAAAATCTTTCAGATTTTGGTGAAAGTGTCAAATGTATAAATTTAATTCTATGTTTTTTATTGAAGTCATAGTTAAAGGTGGTGTTGTATTGGACTACAATGTGTGCAGAGTTGTCTCTGTAATTTTGTCCTGCCATTGACATACATGAGAGGGTCAGAATATTAGGAACACCTCTGAATATAATACAACATATAATACAACAGCACCTTTAATTATGATCTCAATCCTAAACATATAAATGAATTCATACATTTATGGCAATTTCACCAAAAACAAACATATTGAGCTTCATAAACACAGATGTTAAAGCGGAAGTGTTGCATTGAAGTGCATACAATTGTTCAGGTACCTAATAAAGTGGCTGTTGAGTGTATGTCTGTCTCTCTATTTGACGGCAATGTTTCACAACAGTGTTAGCTTTTACCTTGGCGATGCGAATACTGTTTATCCATTGTTGGAGGGTTCTGACATCATCACAGCAGAGGTACTTGATGTACTGAGACTTCTTCTGGATCTGAGGGTGCTACGTACACACACAAACACACCGTATTACATTACAGGAAACTGTAAAGACCCTACATCATCATTGTTTTGATGTAGTTTCACACGTCTTTCTTTTCTCTTCTTTTGTTCAGAGTGTGTCAATGATGAGCCACAGATGGTGCCCATTTGAAGGAACTGCTGCCTCCAGCTTGGACAAGCTAATGACATCACTCCATTTAAACCGCAGCTGTCAGCAGCCTCCTCTCTCTGCTAGGAACACTCGGCCCATACAGAGTCAGTCTAATCCAGCAGTCCGGCAACAAGTCCTCGTTCAGGCAGCTGATGTTCAGTTTGTGTTCAAACTGTTTCACAGGGGTGATGGTTCACCTGTGTGATCATGTTGGAGGCTGGAGTTTGTGAAGCTGCTCAACTGCAGAGAGCTGTTTCCTGTCATTTAGCCCAGCTTCACTGATATAAATGGGACCAACAAAATAAGAGAAACAGTTCTCTCTGTAAGACCATACAGCTGAACAGCAGAACAGACTACAGCCACCAAAATGATCAGACACTTCTCTGAAACAGTGTGAATGCAAACTGAACATTATCACCTTTGGATTTATTGCATGACTGTTTGATTAGACTTAGCTTTAGCTAGGGGTAGCTAATAAACTGACCACTGGGGTCTGAATGTATTAGCAAGTAGAATAACAGTTTCTGACCTGGCACAAAAGATGTGTTTAGAGTTGTGTCTGGGTTAAGAATTCTTGTGAGAAACTGATTTAGATGTGTGATGTTTGGAGCTCAGCTGTTAATAGTCTATTGTGTAAAACCCTTTACCCTTGCTATGAACATTTTTGTCCTGTTTTAGGTAAAACTTCTGGAAAGTTTTCATCATTGAACACTGCTCAACTCTGAAGTTTTAATAAACTACTACTGTGAATCAATCGGCGCTTCTGCTTAGGTGTGGGAAAGTCGCACGTTATGTCTAATATGATCCTCGCTCCCGGCGCCTCCAGCAGCCTCCTCACTCCGGATTAAGAGTCCTCAAAGTTGTTCCGGTCAAGCAAGGATTAAGGACGTCCCAAGACACTTATGTCTGCCCTGGGGCGTGAGGAAGCTGCTGGAGGAGCTGCTGGAGGAGCTACTGTATGAGCGAGGATACACAAGACCATCCCCTGTGGACATCTTTCACCGACTGACACCCCTTCATCACAAATCAGTTGATGATTGGATGCATCAGATTAAGGATCAGAGGAATGGACCCTATGTCTCTCAAAATGTTTCCTCGATTCCTCTCTCCTTGTATCTTTTCCTTACATGTTATGAGGGTAAGACTAAGACGCAAAGAAAAGATGCAAGCAAGGGAAACTGGTGTATCTATGAGACTTGGGATGTACCCTGAGTTTTACCTAGACTGGGGCATAAGAGTATTTTTGTGTACTAATACTACAAATTATCCCACTTTTGCTGCCACAAGCACTCTGAAATGAGTATTTCTACTATATTTACTGCAGTATTCACATGGTCAACAATATCTTATTCCATCTAGTGTAACAGTGTCTTTCTTTGTGATACTGATCATTGCTGTGTCATACCACTAGATGATGCCACAGTGCCACAACACGCATTGCTGTGTGTGTACAATGTGTGTGTACCTTCAGCACCATGCAGTAGTCTGTAGGAGCCTTGTACTTGCTCTTATAGTCCTGGCCATGGTAGACATTAACATGATCCAGCTGGAGAAAACACACCAGGTCTCTGGATGCCTGTATACACAAACATTTAATTTAGCGTCTTTCAGTTTTATAATAAAAATCTGTACTGTTAAACAGAACCCTGTTTTCCCTTTCAGCTTCTTTGCATTACACACACCTTGGCTTTGCATAGGAGATGCCAGAGGCCCGCAGCAGGAAGTAGCGTTTCTTCCGTGACTTCTTCCCGTCCTCTTTCAGCCATAACACTCCCTCCATCTCAGGGACGGACACTGAGCTACCGCCAAAACACTCCTGACACATACACACACAGAAAAAACATCTCGGTGCTCGTTCAGTGTTCCTATTTTCACCTGTTGAACTAAAGAACATGTTGTATGATTCTACTGTGTGCACGTTTATCTTCATTAGGCTTCACTACTAATGCTGTACGACCTTGTTGTTGAAAGGTGCCTAAAAATCTCAACTGGTCATTCTGGATGACAGATCCCAAAACACCTTGTGACTGTGGTAGAAGACTAATTCTGTGAAGATCACAACAAATTTAATGGACAGCTAATGATGAGCAAAGTGGACTGAGAAACATGTTGGCTGACAAATGTTACTGGCTGCTAATTTATACATTTATGACAATCTCACCAAAAACTGAAACATTCTGAGCTTCATAAACACAAATGTTAAGGCAGAAGTGTTGCACTGAAGTGAATACGGATGTAGAGATTGTCATAATGTTATACCTGACCGGTGTGTATGTATATAAATAAAATATTTGTTGTGAAATAAAGGGGCGCTGATCCTGCTATTTCATGCAGGTGTGAGTCACAGCAGTGCGCTGGCAAACAGCTTCTGCACATAGAGGAGAATGACAGTGATAGTTGATGCAAGGCCAAATGTTTTTAAGAAACAGACACATACACTCCAGTATCTCTGTAACTGGTATGATACAGTACCTCAGTGTGAAAGCGTATCATGTCACATTGTTACTGAGATGCTTTGGCTCCCTGGTTTCCATTTGCAGGACTTGAGACGAAAACTTTCCAGAAAACATCTGGGTAAAGATGAATTTGAGGAAGCAGCTGTATGCAAGAGGAGAAAATAAACTAACCTCTAACAGAGCCTCTTTGTTTCTTTCAGCCATTTCACATGTCTCCTTCCGCCCCAGCAAATAGTTCTGCAGTAGACAGACCAAGGACTGGTTAGCAATATAGAAACATATATATATATATATATATATATATACACACACACACACACACATACATACACACACAAGTTGCCCTCCCATGTATGTGTGTGCCTCTTCGAAGATCCGCTCTGCAGAGAGTGGAAGAGAGATTTTAGTTGTTTTTGAGTTAATTCAGGACAAATAAGAAAAACCACCAGGACAGAGGAAACACAGCTTTGGATGTAGACGTTTCTGTCATCTTCATCTGAACAGAAAATAATTGTTGCCACTCAGTGCTGGTGCTGCTGCTGTGTGTGTGTGTGTGTAGGGTGGGGCACTTTCAAAGCGTGCTGGCCTCCAGCCCAGGCTTCATACACACACACACACACACACACACACGTGAAGTATGTTTGTGTATATGAGGAAAGGTTTAGGCTGAATGAAGCTGAACGAGCTACGCTTTGCCTTCTCTCTTTCTGTTTCATAATGATACAGAGTGGCTGCTCAGCAGAAGCCCTGAAGATGTAGGTTAGATCACAAGCTTCACTGCACCGGACCTACTTAAAGACTGTGTGCCCCCCCCATGGGAGGTGTGTGTGTGTGTGCACTCTATGGCTGAACGTCTGCGCTGTCTGACAGTCACTGCGGGGCACAGCATTACTATACACAAGTACAAATGTATTCATTAATCCCCTTCCATTAAAACACATACACTATAATACACCAGGATATCTGGAGTGGTTTGAACTGCTACAGTAGTTTGTGTCTGATTAGTTGGTGTTAGGTTTACCGTCTGACTAGAAAAGCCATTAGAAAATCCTGAAATGCTAGGAAACACGGGCAACAAGGTGGAAACCTAAAGCAATGATTGCTTTATGAACACTTACTGTATATGTTAATTCTTCCTGGGGTTAACTATGGTAGGTTTGTTACCCATAGATACAGACAGGTGACAGATTAATGGAAATGTGTTACTCGTCTGTAGATTTATGAGTTTTTGATGATTAAGTGTTAAATTTATTAAGCATCCCCTGCAGTTTAGAATAAGAAGGAACCAGCTAATCACAGCAGCACAGCGGCGTGGTGGTTAGCAATAAAGTTCCAGGTTCACGTCCTGGCAGGCATGTTCTCCCTGTGCTTCTGTGGGTTCTCTCCGGGTGCTCCGGCTTCCTCCCACAGTCCAAAGACATGCAGCTTAGGTTGACTGGTGACTTGAAGTGTGTGTGGTTGTTAGTCTACATGTCAGCCCTGTGATAGACTGATGACCTGTCCAGAGTGGACCCCGCCTCTCGCCCAATGTTAGCTGGGCTTGGCTCCCTGTGACCATATCAGGGATAAGTGGTATAGATAATGGATGGATTGATAGATGGATATAGCTAATCCAGTTACACCACTGAATTTGACAGCAACCACAGCGGCAGGAGCCTGAAGCCAGCGTGGAAGTAAAGTGGAAGTAAAGTGGGCTAACGGCAGCAGCTTTGCTCCAGAAATACTACACCAATAATACTGTTCCAGGAGATGTAATCGTCTCAATCATTTACTCTATGTACTCTAATTGGATGTTTAGTAATATATATTTATATATAGTATCATTATGCTATTCTAGTGTACACAGTTACAGCAGAAGGAATCATATAGGGCCACACCTAATGACCACCATGTCACGTCAGTTGAGACAGCTGCACCACTTGTTCAACACTGGTCAGGATACTGTATATGCAGTGTATTCTTTGCTTTGTAATTTTGACTTCAGTTGCATTTATATAGCTTCTATTCTTATTTTACATACTATTTATTACCGTTTCCATATTCAGTTCTGTTCTTATGCTGCTGCAACATCTGAACTTCTCCTCAGAGGATCATTAAAGGTGTTTCTTATGTGTGTGTGTGTGTGCTCACCCATCTGCAGCTCACTGATGGTTTCCACCAGTGACCAGTCTGGACTGTAACCACAGTGAGATTTCTCCAGCAAACTGTCCAGGACCTGAACAAGAGGAGACACAGTGAGAGGAATGCAGCTGTAACAGTAACTTCTAGTCAAACTACTGCTACAACTGCTAATGATGCTAGTACTAATGCTTATGCATTGTTGCTAACAACACAGCTGCTACTACCACTGATATTACTAATACAAATAAATGCTGCATTTCTGACATGGCTGCGGTTACTGCATCACTACTACAGGTGCACCATGACTCGGGGTTGTACCTGTCTGACAGTCTGTCTCTCGTCCACCATCATGGTCTTTGAGCTTTCGTCTGACAAGTGAACACGAATCACCAGCTGTGATGAGGCAAAGATAGAGATGTGGGAGAATGTACATCAGTAATGGGAAGTTCTTATGACACCTCTATTTAAATACTGGACTGTGATTCTTAAAGTCTTTTTGGGCCACACTCTGTTCTGCATATTCTCTTACATTTACAATAATCAAGATTAACTGCAGCTACGTTTGGGGCTGAACAACTTCACTGTAGAAAGTGACAGAGCATAGCACATGAAATACTTAAAGTGCACTGGTTCCACTTGTTCAGGCAGGAAGTTCAGTTTGGTCAGAAGAGGATTTGATAGAAAAAGGCAAAAATGTTAACCATTACTAAGCATGGATGACAATATTAGCACCCAGCATGCATGTATGAATACATACATGTTTTAAATGCACATCCCGGGGGCTGTTCTACAGTTGTATCTACAGTCATGGACGGATCATAAAACAACAGGCCCCTGGGCACCGACATGCGGAAGGCCCCAACCTCTCCTACACCTCTAGGAGCAAGACTCACAGACTGAGTAACCATGTGATTTGTGGTCATTTTGCATCATCTTGTGATTATTTTGTGTCCCTTTGCAGGTTTCCCATCTTTTTAGCCATTTTGTGTCCATTTTTACTTATTTTGTACCTCTTTGTAGTAAGTTTACTACCTATTTTTACTTGTCTTTGTCTATTTTTTTAGTTGCTTTGCTTCTCTTTGTAGTTGTTTTGCATCTGTTTTTGTTGTAATTATAAATAAATAAGATAAACGATAGTAACACCTGTTGGTATAACACCTCTATAAAAGTCTAGTTAAAAATTTCATATCAGGATTTACTGCAGGGCTGAGGACACAGTAAGGCAGCATTAATACGGCTTTAGTTTCTGGTTCACTACCCCTTAAATTGTGCTGCTTTATGTGTGTGTGTGTAAAAGAATCACAAATGGTGCAGAAAGATCCACTGTCACTTTTATGGAGGTCTGTGTCGCATCAACATTCAGATGATAATGCTTAACGGGTGCACACACAGGTAGCTGGAGCTCTGTCTCTGCGTGTAGTAAATCCAGGTTGTTAATCCAGTCTCTCTCTCTCTCTGTGTAGGACTGGGACTTTACTTATGACAACCATTATGCTGACTGCTGTGTGTGTGCATGTGCTGACTCCAGCTGTTATTGACCAGAGCTTTCAATGTGGAGTAACACTGACCTAGAAAACCAATTCCACTTGACACATGCACACACAAGCACACACCCTGCACACATACACACAACACAGATTTCTTTAGCATCTTTCTTGACTGTACGTGTGTGAACCAGACTTACCTTCTTCACCTGAGCCTCCTTGATCTTCTCCAGGGCCACTCGGATGTTTTCTGCCTTCAGCTTGGCAGCCTGCTCCTCCTGCGCACGCGCACAACACAGTGACAATGGCAACAGAAATTATTCACTGGTCAGTCAATATAGACTAATAGCTCATTCCTGCAACTGTATTAAAGACACACATGCACCTACCTGACTCCTCCAACAGGAATTCATGGTTTTAATCTAAAACAACCAAAACCTCTGTGTCTGCTTTGCGCCAAAGCTACATCATCTGGTATTGATTAAAATACAACTCCAGAGAATCCCAGTGTTTTTATCAGCAGAGACTGGATTTGCCCTAACACAATACTCCTGTTTAATTAGTTTTCCTCCTGCAGGACCTCTACCATACTAATAAGTGTCCCAGAGCAAAGATGAACTGATATGAAAGCTGAAATTTTTGCCCCCAAAACAGCAGCCCAAGGTTAGTCCCAGAAAGACAGAGGTGCACTGGCCAAGGGTCCTAAACTATAAGGAATCATCAGAAGTGTGTGTCTGACAGCGCACAAGCTGCTTCTCCTCCTCCTCTTCATAATCATCATCATAATCTCTGTATTATTGTGACTGCAGGGGAATGAGATTGGATTAACCTTCGGACGCTACACATTGGTCAATAGTTGCTGTCTCTCTGAGGGAGGATTATCCACGTTTCCCAAAAACAAACAAACTGGAAGCTCTGCCTGTGAAGCCAACAAACTAGAGCATCAAAGGAAAATGTCCTGTCTCTTTTCGCTGACAACTCAGCAGTGAGATGCTCCCATGTGCAGTCGCAGGTTTTGTTTCTCTCAGTTTGTTTCTGCACAAACGCCCGGTTTTTCGACTTTCAACAAAACGAGGGGGGGTCGAGATAATCAGCATGAGAAAAATAAAGCATAATGCGGAGGGAGATGGAGGAGCAAAACAGGCCAGTTCCAGAAGAGCAGAGTGCAGGTACAGACAGCAGATCTGAAAAAAAGAAGAGTAGAAATAGAAACACCAGTAGAAATAAATAGAGCAAGAATGACGACTGATGATGTGACTGAGCTGCAGGCCAACCGATCTGGTTATCGACTAATTTGCAGCCAGACTCCTGTTTGGACTGAAAGCCAGACTGACCAGCAGAACTGATCACCTGGCTGTTTGATTACCACCTGACTGATCAACCTAGAGTGAAAGATGTTACCTTCTCCTGTCACATCCTCCCTGGCCAAGCGAGACAGAGGGAATGAGAAGAAGAAAGAGGGAAGTGGAGAGGGATGTTGGTGGGGGAGGGGCATTATTCCTGTGCCAACTCACATTCAGCGACACTGATCTCTTCATCTCAAGCTCTCATGCCCCCTCCTCTCCGATTCCCAGTCTTCTTTTCTTTCCTCCAAGGTTTATCCTCATCTCACTCTCA